AGCCGCCGCCTTCTGCTCCGCAGCCCCGTGGGCGGCCGAGTTCTCTTCGGGGGCCCTGGGGAAGCGGCGGACGGAAAAAAGGGAAGAGAAGCAGGGGTGGGGAGAGGGAGGAAAACTTCCAAGCCTTGCGGTCGTCCAGTCACCTTTCCCAGACACTCGAAATTAACTTTATAAGGGCCAAAAAGGAGGGAATGGCCTCTAGACGGCGGTCCCCAAAGAGTGAAGCTGGGGAAAGATCCAGGACCCGGTCTCTGGAGGGCTCCAGATCTTAACCAAGTCTCTTACTCTCTGTCTCCGGTTCCTTATCTGTAAAATGAGGGTCTGAAAAAATGATCTTTCAAGACCCTACCAGCTCTAAAGTTTCCCTGATTGGTGGAAGAAGCATCACTCGGGACCCAGGGCTGATGCAAAATATTTATTACCTTTCCCTTGCCTGGAAAGACACACGGTCACATTCTTTTTTTCTTTTCTCAGAAACGACTATATTTTTAGTATGTATTAAAATAACTCTGAAGTAAATACTTTCAAGTCGTTTTTCAAGGTCAAAACAAAATTGCAATTCTGTGATTGTAATTGTAATACATGGGTTTTTTAATGACAGAATTTTAAAGCCTTTGTTTAATACTTGCTTTTAGTAAAAGTCAGTACTGTTTTTTCAACTTAAAACATTTTTAGGTCAATAAACAAATTTATAGTTCTATGGCAAAAAAAAAAAAAAGTTACATCTTGATGGTGAGACGGGGAGAGACTTCCTATTTACGTTTTTGGTACTTTTTGATTCTTTAACAAAATTATTCTTGTGTTCTGACCTATTCACTAATTATATGAATTAAAGACACACAAAGACACATTTTTACCAGTATTTGGAAGTTTGCGAAAAGGGGAAAAAAGCCAAAATTTTATGTATTCCAAATATCATAAGTAAAGCAGAAAGAAGTATAAGAATGTAAATTATAAAAGCCCAGTGTCTCTGAGGAACAATTAGTAAACTAGTAGTGCATTTCACTCTTGAATATTGATATTCCACTCAAAGTTTGGATGGTTGCTAAGCTTAAGGATAAACACCAAGAAAAATGTGAACATAGCAAGGCTGGCCAAATACACCCGATTCGGTGGTAAATCAGACATTAAATCACAGTGGCATGTGGGTCAGTTTATTCAAATTGCTGTTACAAGATAGTCTTAGCGTAATTTTAGGAAAATAGGAATCATGTGGCCATGCAAAGAAGACTGTCTACAATGGAATTAAGATTCCAATGAACCTCCTTCCTTCAGAACCCAGGAGCTAACAGTTTAGGGCTGTCTCATGTTCGGTCAGGCTGCTTGTATTGTACATTTTCCAAATGGCATTATTCCCGCCAGCTCTTCCAAAGTGAGTTCTGCCCACTCTGTAGATAAAACAATAGTAGAAAATGAAAATAATATATTTGTTCAACAGGTTTGTTTAAATTTTCTCCTCTCCAATCATAAAAACACTAAATAAGTTTAACCATTGGAAGAAGTAACCTCCTAAGCCCCTAAACAAAATATATAACTGCCTATTTTATGGCATGGGTTTAAGTGTGGTATAATTTTGATAGCTACATTGTGTACCAAGTAAAATGCAACTGGAAAAGAGAAAATATACCAAAATATGGCTTAAAGGATATATTTCAAAGCCTCAATCATACCTTGATGGTCAATCCTTTGAATATATTAAACATGATAATAGTCATTGAGCCATTATGTACTGGGCACATATTTTTCATACTTGTATTATCTTATTTAAGTCTCTCATTATTCCTATGAGGTAACTACAGTTGTTATCCCCATTTTTAGATGTGGGGTAACTGAGGCACAGAAGGGTCCAGTGAACAGCCCACAGCAAGGAAGGGGCTGAGCCAGGTGCTGAGAGGCATCTATTCAGCTTATAGATAGATATAGACTCTGATAAAGAAAATATTTTGTAGAATGCACTTAAATCCTAGCATATTTAAATGTTATTCTCCATCAGCTCTTAATTAAAAATATAACTTTTTGTAATCATTTTTTGTAACTAACTTCCTTAGGAATTATGAAACTGAGGAATCATGAGTAACAGTCTAAACTGATCAATGAGTCTGTAAAGATATAAACATCTTGTTATTTAAAGAGGATTTGGCTGCAGGTTCTAGAAATCTAATTTTTATGCCTTTTATACCTATTTGTTGGCAATGAAAACACAAATTTAAGAAGCCAAGGTGAAGAATGCTACCACTTATTAAGCTGTGTTAGTTCCAAATCTTTTTCCCTGTTGGGTTATCCATATGAGATTTGTTTTTACTGTTTCAAAGAATCATAGTATTTATTAAAATGGATTATTTATGACATTCATTTGAGGTCAGATTCTTGATACTATGGGGACAAGCTGAGTTTAGAGCAAGCATCAACTCAGTAGAAAAACAGAATTCTGATAACAATTTTAAAAATACTAAACCAATTTGTTGTCACTGGATTTTAAAGTGCTATCTTTTCTATGACTATAAAATTTATTGGAAGGTGAGTGATAAATTCAAACTTAGCATTTCAGGATGCAATTCACATGTAAATTCTTTTGTAGCCCCCTCAGGGAATGTATCACTTGGAACTCTGGTGATTTATGTTTTCTGAAGCAATCTTTCACTAGTCAATGTATTACCGTAAATCTCTCCTTATAATACTGCCTATGTATGCACATACTTACTGATGTAAACCTTATTTCATCCAAATAGTTCAGGTACTGTTGTAAGTATTATTTTATTACTCAACAGAAAGGTAAATTTGCCACATATACTATTTTCAATTTTGCAGCTTAAAAAAAAAAAAACTTCTAGAGAAAGTTTGAATACAGCTTAAAAACTTTTGCATGTTACAGCTAACTTTTTCTTCTGGGATGCAAAACAGTAGGTTAGGCTACTTGAAACCCCTTTGGGAATCTGGAGCAACAGAAGGATATAAGCTATACCCAGGCTTTACCTAAATATTCCACAACATTTCTCAACTATTATAGAAATGGATGTCCTTTTTTGATACACATAAAATACTACTATCTCTAGTAGATTCAAATAATCTCACATCCACCCATCATCCCCCCATAGAGAAGTGCCACATCTTCAGTGCACCCTCACCAGCCTGTTTTGTCATCCTTTCTTTGCAATTTATTCTATAAAAATATTATTTTTTAAAACACTCCAAGTATGTAATTACAATGAAGCATATGCCCTTTCAAAAGATATTGACCTGTCCTTTTCCTTACACATCTCACCCTAGCTTCATTATTGTAAAACTTACACTTCCTCCCTTTGCTTCTCAGTAGAGAACCTCTACTCAACAGGTCATTCAAGTTCTGTTAGGCAATGACCTAAAATGACTTTGCCTGGATAAAGTTGAGGGCCAAGCCAGGCGGCGCGACCTCAAGGTTAGAGACACCAGTTTAGAGCTTCCTTCAGATGTAAAAAGATCCTCCTAGGTCTGAGTAACTTGAATGGCAGGCTAGTTAACACCTTTCTCAAAGAGGGTAGAGAGCTTGACAACTCAACCCCTAGGAATAAAAGAATGGTGAATGGAAGGAAAGATTTGAAACTCCCAAGGGAACTTTCAAAGAGTTTGAGAAAAAGTAAAGAGGCTGGCTGAAAGCAAAACTGGTTCATTTACACTTAAACAGAGAATGGAGATGGTGGGCTGGGGCAAACCTGACAAGTACTTTTTAAGAACTTGAATTCTCTGTAGTTCGCCCTCTGCTTGTTTTTTTCTAACCATTGTATATTTATTATATTTAAAATATTTTAAATGTGAAGCTGGGGCACAGACAGAAGGTGAGCTTGGGTATTTTTACATCACCATCAGCTGAAGGAAGACGAGAGCCAAGGAGAAGGCAGAGGTTGGTGGTAACTGGAAATAAGTCTTCAGTGAAATCCTGTTGACCTTCAATGTACAAGAAAGGATACACCAGGAGCTGAGTAGTGATCCTGGGCTTTCCCCAAATTTCTAGCTCTTACTAGGAATTTATAGATTCCTCAGAAATGCAAAATAGCATGGGAGTGGTTGTGTAGCCATACTTAACTAATATTAATAGAACCAGCTACTTATTCAGATATACACTTATCCAAGCCTGCACTAAGGATCTCATCAAAGTACAGTTTTCCAAGATGAATCTCATGTATGTAGAATAATGAGGAAATCAACAGGATGGTAAAGCAGATTCAAAGATAATTTAGCATATAACATATGTAGGCACTGAAAAAAATGCTAGGCAAAGATTACTAAGTTAGATACAAAACTGATTAACTTCCTACTGAGCGATTTAACTGTAACCTTTGGATTTATCTATTCTACCAGATAAGAATCACTCGCATCTTTAACAGATAAACATCTACAAAATTTTCCACATTAATTTAGAGACTGACCTTAATCAATAGTAAATAGTAAAATAAACCAAGGCATGAATAATCTTATAATGAAATAAGTCGGGCTCGGTGGCTCAGCCTGTAATCACGCGCCTTTGGGAGGCTGAGGTGAGTGGATTGCCTGAGCCCGCAGGTTCGAGACCCGCCTGGGCAGTGAGACCTCATCTCTACAATCAATCAAAAAATCAGCTGGGCGTGGTAGCCCATGCCTGTAATTCCGGCTACTCGGAAGGCTGAGGCGGAAGGATCGCTGGAGCCCAGCAGGGAGGCTGCGATGGCCGGGAGCGGCCACTGCACTCCAGTCTAGACGACCGAGTGAGACTCCAACTCAAAAAAAAAAAAAAAAAAAAGGAATGAAATAATTCTCTGGTGAACCTGTAGAATAGTACTTCAGCATGCAGGACCTTCAGTTAACCTGCTACTTTGTTGTAAGCTTGAATACTTTTTCTTACCAATGTATAATCATAATCATAAAAACTTTCCATTTATTGCACT